CGGGCGTGGTTATTGTCCGCTTTTAAAAATTTTCGGGCATTTGGTATGCTGTACCAGGACCAACAACTGTGCCAAGTTTGGAAGAAATAGGTGCAGCGGTTACCAAGATATACACATGAAACCATAAGTGGGCGTGGCTACGCCCATTTTCCAAAAATTTCCAATATTCTTATCTTTCGTCTAAAAATCATTGTAAATATCAATTTTGAGTGAATTATCCTCAGTAGTTACCAAAATATCGCAGTTTTCGTATTTATGAAAATTACCGTTATATGGGAGGTAGGCGTGGTTATTGTCCGACTTCGCCCATTTTCAATACCATCCGTCCTATGCCCAAAAGAAGTCCACGTACCAAGTTTCGTTAAGCTATCTCAATTTTTACTCGAGTTATCGTGTGCACAGACGGACGGACGGACGGACGGACGGACAGACAGTCACCGCTTAATCGATTTCTCTTTTCATCCTGATCATTTATGTATACATTTGTCTATATCTATCTCGATTCGTTTTGCCTGTTACAAACAACCGTTATGTGAACAAAGTTATAATACCCTTGTGCACAAGTGCGCTCGGGTATAAAAATAAAAATCATGAAATAACGATTAAAAATGATCGAAAAAATAAAAATCATATGAAGATAAATGAAAACGTAATAATATAATAATAATAGATTGGCGCTTACACATATATTAGTGTTTGGCCGAGCTTCTCCTCCGATTTGTTGCGTGCGCCTTGATGTTGTCACACAGGGCGGAGGGACCTACAGTTTTACGCCGACTCCGAACGGCGATTGTATTTTTATGAGAAGCTGTTTTTCATGGCAGAAAGCTGGCCGAAAGTCGAAGCGTGGTACAATTGTAATCAAACCTTGTGTATTCGTCTTTATTTTAGTTTCTAGTTTTAAATTTCACCACATAATTTCGAAATTCAAAATGGCGGATCCATAATGGCTGCTGTGTACGCTTAAAATAATCAGATTTTTAGCAAAACTAAGGTAGTTAAGTATAAAAGGTCATGTTTTCTACTTTTTTGTTATAAAATGTGATGTAGCGGTTAGCAATATACGCAGTCATTCCGCAGGGTCTGGGTTCAAGCCCTGTTTCCGACCAACATCAAAAAATAAGAAACCAACAAGTTTTGGCAGTTGTGGCAGTTGGCAGACAATGGCAAACCCCCCGAGTGTATTCAGCCACGAAGAACAGCTTCTCATAAAAATAAAATCCTCGTTCGAATTCGGAGTAAAACTCTTGGCCCCTCCCCTTTGTGCGCCAACATCAAGGCGCGCGCCA